TCACAACAGGAGCTGGAAATGGATCGTCTCTGTTGTTCAAGAACAGGGTGGAGGATATCTCCAAATGACAATCCTTCGGTCCCATCCGAACTCGTGGGCCACTTTTCAAGCTCTTCGACTTTCCGATCACTTGCAAACCTTCCTTCTTGGAATGTTCAATCAAGAAGCAATGTCCTTGAACGTTGTAGGAGGACTCTATCGAAGTGCTGCTCTCAACTATTCGTGGTCAACATCAGATAGGCGTCCCCTGCGCTCATTCCCGCTAAGGCTCTCTTCGCCTATATGAAACTCTCGATCCACCACTGTTGACATCCCGCATCTTTCCTGCTCAATTTCTATTGGGATAGAAAAGCTGTGGAAATCGCCGCTTGTCTATGTTAGTTTCTTCAATCTTGAGAAAAAACAAATTCGATCGATCTATGTGAATGAGCGAGATGCGCTTTGAATAATATGGAATATGTCATCACCTTTTAAAAAGTAATCCAGAAAATAGCATTCGAGGTTGGGATACCATATATCGGGAGACCTTTCTTCATCTGTCTCCAAATGATGAAACTACTGATTGGTAGAAAGGAAAAAGATCATGAAATGCGAGATTTGGGCGGGAGACCGCAATGGGATAAACTGAGGGTAATAGTCACTTACCGGTAATTTTACTTCGCTCTTTTCGCACAAGTTCTGTTGAATATTTCTTCCTTAGGTGTTCCAGTACTATTTTCTTGGCTTTATCTTTATCGAGCTTCCTCTTTTTATCCGTATATTTCATGTATTTCAGATTTCGTTGCATCAAATCTGCTGGTCGTAGAGCGCGTGCTTGCTCAACTAGGGAGAATCCCTGAAATGAATAAAAATTTTCAGCAATAAATCGTCATAATGATGTGATGTAATCGCCAAAAAATGCAGTCATGTTCGCTGCTTATCAAAGGGGTGGTCAGGTAGTATGTGATTGACAATGCGCCAAACCCATTCTCCACCACTGTTGAAGCGGGTGAGCGACAACAGTTGATGAAAACACCCTGATACGATTTGTGATGCAGTTTGCCGCTTTCTTGAATTGGTGGTTTTAGGGGCGCCGCGCGGAACATGCGAGGGATCGTGCCAGACCACGCCCCTTCATCCGCAGCGTACAAGTACTTAAGGCGACTAAAACTTGTAGGCTCCTAACAGGAGTACCCAAGAAGATGACTTCGAATAGACCAACCTGGCGCGCTAATTTATCATCGAAGTCAATACTTCCTGGTCGTTTTCGCCTTTCTACAATGAAACTTTCCTCGGGCGGTAGTTCAACCTGAATTGTGGTTGGGACTTGATTTGTGTTGTTACGACATGCTTCATGAAATCTTCGTTGAAATCGAACCTGTCCTTTTGAAGCAGCTGCTAGAATTCGTTTTATGTGCTCTTCACGCAACTCTTGCTTTGTCCTTTTTCGTTTCACCTCTCAGGAAATTGGCCCTTTTGCTCTTACTTAACACTAACGAGTATGCCGTCTTCCTTATCTCTCTTATCGCTTTCGTGGAAATATTCGTGGAGCCTCCGAGGGATGTCTGCAGACAGCTCGGCACAGTTGCTTTTAAGTTCTGACCCTCGTCATCATCTTCTGTTCTTATTTTGCAGCACCTCCAGTGTTGTCCGCATCAAGAAATTGCGTTTTACTCGTATTTGAGAGCGCAATTAAAGGACTTGGCAAAGTGCCAAGGAGCCGCACGCGACACGCGCGCTTGCAACGGATGTTATGAACGGCGGGAATCTGCGCCGTAAAAAGGCAGTGGGCGGAGCATGGAAGAACTAGCGTGTTTCTCC